GTACTTTCAGTGCCGCCACCGATGAGGTATGCGATACGGCGGCGGCGGCGGCGGCGGCGCGGAGATATATGAACTTTGCGAATTTGCACTCGCCTTATTTCATTGCCCGTATTATATCCACTCCGGCCGGGCACGAAGCCGCGAGTAGGTACATGCAGCGTGTGCAGCCAGCCTTCAGCCCTCAAAACCCTTGCCTTCGACTAAATCCCGGCTTTTTCTTACCGGCTTCCACTTCGACTCGCCTTCCACCTTACTGTAAGCGCAAGCAAGAGAGGAGCGATTCAGAACCGAGTCGCAGGACTAAACAGTTTTTGCGCCGCCCGCTAAACGAGACTAGACCAGAGCTAAACGGCGGCGGCGGCGGGCAATTTATTATCTTTAAACCTCATTATTAAAGGCAATAAAAGCCGACGCCAAATAAAAATATGCGCGGAATAATTCGCGTTTGTGGAATATAAAAATTACGCACGCGCCGCCCCCGCACACTAAACGCGATCATAAATATGTACTTTTAATCATAAAGTTTCATTAGGCGCCGAAATTAATTAACGCTTCAGCATCGAAATTCAAGAAATTGAAGACTTTGTTGTTTCGAGTTTGTTTTTGGAAAATTTAATACGATTGAATTATGGCGGGGAGGAGGCCGGCGTGCCGTACATCGCGAGCACGCACACGTTTCGAATATAAATTACATTTTCAGGCGCACGGGCGGGCGCTCTCCTCCTCGCGCGCCGGGCGCGGTAAATTATAAATTTGATTGATTTACTTGCCGCATTATAATATGAACCGCATGCAGGTTCGCGCCACGTATGCAATTACGTTTAGCGAAAAAGCGTCGGTACGTAAATATATTTATGTTTCAGGCGGGGTGGCGCGCGAGATGGATGCGGCGCCGTCGCCGCCGCCCCCGCGTGTCGGGAAATTGAGAAGTTGCCGGCTACCCGAGACGAGCGATGATCATGATGAAGATTAAGAAGACGCAAACGAAGGTGCGGCGTGTGCACGCGTATGTGCCGCCACCAGCGCGTGAAAAATGAAAACGGCGGGCGGAAAAAAAGCGACGGGGTAATGAAAAATGACAACGCAAATAGAACATGCACGCGGCGCAATCAACAGCGAAAAAAAAATTGTTCATTTCTCATCCAGGGTTTTGAGAGGGTGATACAGCCGCCCCTCACCACCGCCTGTTGAAGAGAACGCAGGCGGGTAAGTTGTTTATTCGCGTCTCGGGTTTATTCCTCGGTTTGCTTTTTAAATTATCCGCGTCGCGCGAAATGTATCGGCGGTAACAAGAATCGGCACGCGCTCGAATCCAGATTGCTCGCCGGCGCCTCCACCACCTTCACGCGCAGGTGATATATGTATGTCGATGGTGCACGCGTATTTATATTTATATCGACGCGCGCATTCCTGTGTTTGTGTAATGGGCACACAGCCGGCACATGTGTAAAATACGGCGCGGATTTTCGAAGCGCCGCCGCCGAAAGCAATTTATACGAAATTGAAGCCGGCAATAAAAATGCGCGAAAAACACGAAAACATGAAATAAGAACCATATGTAACAACGGCGCGCCGGCAATCCGCGGCAATTCATGGCAATTCCGATACGATGGTTACGGCCGCCCGCGCGCGCGCGATCTTCCGCCATCCGACACTGTGTTATGCCAATCTATATCGCGCGTATGCGAAATGAGGAGCGAAAACATCTTTGGAATGATCTCAATATTTCTGCCGCACGGTTTCGATCGGCTGCAATTTATTGCCGGATTTATTCCACGCCACAATACATAGTGTATCGCCAGTAAACATTTTTTTCCGAAAAATCATTTACGCATGCAACGCATTAGTTGTTTCATGCGCCATTTGTTGTCGTACGCTCAAAATCGCATTAAAATCCATTCGACCAAAGAAAAAAACCAGCGCGCACACAAACGAAATGTTTAATTTAACGCCCAAAAAGCGAATTAATTGTTAATTGAATATGGACGAGGCGCGCGGCGCACGTGTTTCGCCTGCAATCAATCAGAGCGTATTATGCAAATCGCGTCGACGTTTCGGCGGCGCGCGGCCACGGAATGCACGTGCCACCTGCGCGGCGGCGGCAATTGTTGTGTCTGTTATCGCAATGAATACATCGCAGTCGGACGTCGCATCTACTCGACGACGAAGTACTACTAATCACATGCCAAGTAGTCCCGCACTCCATAAACACCTCCCACTGTCATAAAATACAAAAATCAACGCACAAATAAAATTTAACTATTGTGTGCCGTAAACGTTGTCATTTTTCACAATTGAGCGTTTGATTTGTGCGACCTGGGATTGCTTTCAAATTGATGGATGGCGACGCCCAGTGGATGTGTCGCTGCGCTATCAACATTACTAACGTCAACGTCCAAACATCAGCAGCGTCGCAGATAGGGCGTGCGCATCAGCACACCGCCGCCGCCGCCGCCACCGCACGAAACGACCAGCATTCAACCGAAAAGGTAGTAAATGAGAGATAACAGCCAAACGGTTTCATGCAGGATACGCTTTCAGCCATCGGGCGCAATCCTTGATAAATAGTTCAGTTATTCAAACAAGTCCGGCGCACGCTTTCGCATTTTTCAACCGGTTTTTTGCCGCAAGCGCTTCTTGCGCCGGTGGGGGCTAAATGTTTGTTCCGCATCACATCATATGGTAATGAGCAATGATCAATCAATTCAGACGTATATAACTTGCTACAAACAGATATGATTACAATCGTAACAAAGATACTCAACTGATAGGGGTTAATTTAGTAACAACTGATATGCTACACATGTAATAGACCTATTCACAACTAAAATTTATTAATAATTACCTTGGTTCCTTATTAAACAGGGTGTTCATCGTGAGATTCGTAGGATTAAACGCTTGTTTATCCGAAATTAAAAACTTGAACCTTCATTATTCATCGATAATATGAATATTGAATCGCGTCGACGGACTGGGAGTTGGCGCGACGAAGGCAGTTTGCATGCCGATCGCTGCCGGTCCCTATTAGTCAGTTAATTACTTGATTAAGGAGTCAGAGAGGAAGAAGTTGGCGGGCGGGTGCGAGCGAGCGCGCGACTAAGTAAGCGCGCAAGGACGGCAAAACCGCAGTTGATGCCATTATATGACGACCGAAACTTGTATTAAAAGACAATAACGATATTATAGAAAGTTTGCGGGCTGGGGGTGGCCGGCGCGTCGAGGATAAATTTCGGACTTCGAATTTAATTAAGACTCCCAGTTTTCGCGCTAGTTTTCCCATTTTGAATGCGGCGCCCCCCGGGCGATATTAACGTCAACACTGGCGCAACTTTGCGTCTCGCATCTCGAATGTGCCAATCTGGCCGGTGGCCGGCGCCGCAGAACGCGCACGCAAATTACATAATCGCGCTGTGGATATCGGGCGAGATTGAGCGATAAATAATGATGGGACGAGCGACAACGACGACGACAACGCCCGTCGTTGATTTATTAGCTATTGTGTGTGTATCTTGCGAGTAATTTCATCGGCGCCTCCACCAACGTCACTTGAGTCGTGGGTGGGTTTTTCGATTTGCTGCGTTTCGGGTTTAATTACTCGCGTGGACTGCGTGGTGGTGGTGGTTATGAAGTTCAAAAGAGTAATCGGCGGCGCTGATAAATCGCCGCCGCCGCCGCCGTAATCACTATCGCGTTGATTATGTGCGCGTTTGTCCCCCCGCACGACGACTACTCTGTGTGTGTGTGTGCACGCGGGCCGAGGGCGCGCTTTTAATTACAGTTATTTGTTATTCGGCGGGCGAAAGATAATAAGAGCTTTATTTACATTTTGGCAACCGCACTCTCCCACCCTGCTGCTTTCTTCGTCGTTCTTTCCACTCTTGCCCTCGACACCGCCGCGCAGCTTTATCCGTTAGCATAATCCGAACAACTAATATATGTATAAAGCTTTGCGGTTTTCTTTATGCAAACAGAATTAAAATTCCGAACAATCCAGCCGGCAGCGATACGCGTTCAGCGCTCGTACGCGTGCGCGTTAAAATTTATTTTTCAATCGCCCAACAAATTAGTTTCTCAGCATTAAGTTAACGCGTTTTTTCAACAAAAACGTAAAAAATAAAGATTTACAATAGGAAATCTGGCGAACAAAACTCTGCATGAAATAAAACGTGATCCTGTTAAGTGATCTGAAGGTAAAAGCGTTGTTTATGTTCCCTTCACTTCACTCGTTCTTCATTCATTCAAACCCGTTCGCCGATTCATAATCCACTGCCAGCGCTGTGCGCCGGCGAAAAGCGGGCCTTTAATCTATTAGCGAAAGCGCATTCGTTAAATGGTCCCGAACGTCATAATTGAGAATAATTAATATAAAGGCGGCGTCTCCGACCGCTTCAGCTCGAGCGCGCACCATTTGCGAAAGTACCGACCATCAAATTAATCTTTAACTTCAACTTCTTGTGCGATTCGTTGCGAGCTAAATAATGCATTCAGCGACCGCTTAAATTTCCATTTTATATGTGCATTGCGAGGTTAATATTTGCGCGCGGATTGCAGCCGGATACAATTCGGCGGGTGCGAAGTTGATCAGAAAATTATCGATTCCTTTGCGCGCGTGGTAATCAAGCCGAGAAGTCCAACAATTAAAACCGCTGAAACGTCAAAAGCGTGGAAATAATTCCGACCGAAAAGTTTTCGCGCAATCTTCGCTTCTTCGCGATATCGCTTCGATGTCTAATTGTTGGCAAACTTCCTTATTAAGTCTCTATTAAGTTTCAATTAACTTACTGGCAAAAACCGCTTTAATGTCAACTTCAATATGAGCTTTTTTTTTGTTTGAATTTTATTGTTTCACTGCGCACATATGAACTTCACTCAGTAAATAAAAAGTTGTGAAATAAACGCGTTTGTCGCGACTTTTGAACATTAAATAAAAATGTGCAGTTAGGGTATGATCTAAATTAATATTAGATGCATGCGCCTATAAAATAAAACATTCCCATTACCTATTCTTGTGCGAGAAGATTAAATCTGGTTGCAGTCATCCGTTATTTCTGTCCCATCAACTGAAAACAAAAAATTACAAACAATTTTAATATCGCGCTGCATTCAAACATTCAAACAGTAAATAATGCCCTGCTTCGGCACACAACGCCGCATCAAGTTTGTTGCGCAAAGTGTATAATTAATATTTACGCCGGAGTAAAACTCGCCTTTGTCAAAATTTGTAAATTACACCGATACTTCATTAAATCCATTTAAAGTGTTAACAACTGCCGCGATTGGTTTGTTGTACACGGTGCCCGCGCCACGCTTGCCTTTGTGCAAAGTTTACGCATTAAAATAGTTCGCCGAAGAAGCGAGCATGTGCGCGCCAAACATAAGAAACACAAAGTTTTGTTTCGCCGAGAAAACGTTTACGAGCTCGAGCGGATTTTGCGCCCGGCGCGCACACGCAAACTTTTACATACTCCAGGCACAGCGCGCATTCTTCGGCGCCTCCACCATCGCCGCTGCTGCACATGCATGTTCCGGCGCGTTCGACCTGAATGTGAAAGCGACCGAAAAGCCGCGGCAACGAGCCGGATATCTCGAACGAGCATCGCCGGCCCGGGCGACAATCGAAGCGCAAGTGTCGGGATTTTATTCCACACGCCCGTTGCAATAAGCATCGAGTATCGGTGCCTGCGAATGAGCATTAGCATTTTCTCCAGTCTTAACTGTTGTTGCAAGGGTTTTCTCTTCTCGGTGGTGCTGCGCGCGTTAAATTTCGTTTGAAACATTGCACTATTTCTCAATTCGCTGCAGCATTTTTCGAGCACCGCATTCCGGCGATTATCCTCCCCATTGCGCGCCGTCGAATAGTTCGCCCGATAGTTGGGCGCTCGGCGTCCCATTACGCTTTTAGTTTTCTTTATTGTTGGCTATATTGCGAGCCGGTGCGATCGGCGGCGATACCCCACAGGCGGCGGGTGCATATATGAACTATTTACATGAAACATTTAACTTGTAATCTGCACATTCCTCCACTTTCCACTTTCTTTCCGCCGCCATGTCGCAAATAGCAGCGCGCGCAAAGGAAAGTTTGAATTTCCATAGATAAGTCGAGCGAGAACGGGCGCGCCGGCAGACATGCGAAACTTTTACAATATATGCTCACACATTACCTCTCTCGCCGGGGCTTTGTCGAACCTTTAAAAGCCAGAGCCCCATAAACACGCGCCGAGCGCATTCCGCAGACTGCACTAACGGCAAACGGCAAGCCACTCCTTTTCTGCAACGCGTTTGCGATATTTATGACAGCATTCTCAGCCATATTTTTCATATGCATGAATGCGAATATCTATTTATAAATATTACTAGCGCTTATAGTTGTTACGCGCTTGTTATCCTGTCGGAAAGCGTTTCCAACATTTCCGTCGCTTTGTTAAATTTACAAAAAAAATATATCAAAATTTTACTTAGTTTACATCGTGAAAGTAAATTAGCAGGTGATTTTTTTTTTGCTTTTAATTCTCCTTGGGGGCAGAGACGCGAAAATCAATAAACATGCCGACCGATCGGAGAGCGATAGGGGCGCACCGACCTATCTTCGCTCGCTTGACCCAAAGTGCCCATTACTGAGCTAATAATTGAGCAAATTGAACGCGAGGTTAATAGGAAAATTATCGCGCTGCCATTTTCTTTTTACGGCTTATTGGAAAATAACCAACGACGCACTTGGACGTGATACATTTTGTTCGATTGCCGGCGGCGCGATATCTCAATATCACTGCCGCGCGCGCTATTGCAATGGTTTCAATTTCAAAATAACGATGCCATAACAATAATAGTAACGGCCAATATTGACGGAAATAAAAGATTCGCCCCCTATCAAAGAATTATTAAATGAAAAGGCGCGCACGAAAATTACACAAAAAATTATTCATCACGTCTCGCGCACTTTATCTACGCTCACGCGCAAAATATAAAATTAATATGTTCATTAAGCGATTAATAATTACTATAGTAATTTACGATCTGCAGAGTGATGAAGTGGCGCAAAGAGGCTAGACGCATACCCTTACGAAAGGGGCTTTCAGCAGTGTCGTGCCAAGCATGAAGGACGTTACAGGGTGACCAAACAAACCTCAAAAGACGCCCAGCAACTCAATAAGTCTGCGACCAGAAAACCCTCGGCGATATATTCGCATATATGCCGAACTCAAGTTAAAAGTCTTTGTAATTGTTTGTGGCTGCCGCTGGGGGATGCTTTGTTGTTGGGCGCCTTTCACTGGCAACCCTGTAACCCTACCCCTAGAGGACTAGAAATTTTCGCGCTGGCGTGGTTCAAGCGAGTTGTGAAAGTTCCGACCGAAATCGCCTAAAACCTAAAACGGAGCCGCCGGAGCCGCCGGTTTTAGATGCACACGCGCTTAGATGCGTACACTGCATGTTTAATTCAATGGAGTTTAGTTCCGAGACGAAATTAGCCGCCCGCCGAAAGGTTGGTTTAATGTCGCGCGCAGCTGAAACACGCCCGGGCGCGCGCGATCAAGAAATAAGACCGGATGCGATGCGCTAATATGCAATAACTATATACGACCACCGGGGGCGGGTAATTAGCGCACGTGTGTGTGTGTGTGTGTGTGCACTCATTCGGCGCGTGTCCGCGCGGTATTTAGACGGTCGTGTACGAAAGAACGTCTAACATGTGCATCAATCATCGGATTATCGTCGCTCATCTTCATCATCCGTCTTTATCTATCTTTATTGTTCTAGCCGGGGGTGTACACAATGCGAGCGCCGGCTCGTTTTTCATCGACGCTGCGAGACGGCTAAGCCACCTTCTCGCGCGCAGCTCATTTCTCCGCGCGTTCCTCAGTCGCTTTTTCTCCCGTCTTCCGCACCGACGCAGACGTCGCGGACCGGCCAAGGACGTGTTTATTTTATTTTATACACTGCGCACGGCTAATGGCGTCTAATAACCGCCGACCTAACTCGAGACCTTCCTCTTCGTCTTGTTATACGCCGGGGGATCAGCGCGTTGAGCATGCAGGTGTTTAGCGCGTTTATTAAAGTAAATAAATGGCGAATATCAGCGAGGATGTACGAAGGCGTTCGGGATTAGCGGCGGCGGCATCAACTGCCGTGAAATATCACGAGTACGACGATACACGGAATAAGTAATATCCGCGCCGCTGAAGGACTGTAATCCACCAAAGATAATTTATCATCGACATACTGTGGGTTGTTAAGCCACTGAAAAACACCACCGCATTAAAATTGTCGAAAATCACGCCGTGGTATTAAAAAAAAAACCAAAATGATGTTTATTGCGCTGCATGCATCAGGATATCACGCTCAATTAATTGCCAATGTGCGTGCGCGTCGGAGTTAATTTATTAAAAATTACACTATCGTATTATGTGCGTGACGCGTTAGTCGATATAATGGCGTTTGCGCGCGTTTTGGAATAATAGCGCATCGGTAATAACTGGCTGGGCGGATGAGCGGCGGCGCAACTGTCAGGATACGTGTGCGGCAAATGCAAAATAAACATATGTTGTTATTGTTGTTGATTGTGATGAAAAACTATTACAGAAGTTGCACAACACGAGTTATACCTACATGTTTTACTATGCATAACATCAATTCACGACCTGCATGCCTGTTTATTTTTATTATTTACTCCCACACCAACTAAATGCATAGATTTATTTGTAAAATTTTTTGTTATAGTTGTTATTTTGGTATAACAACGACGCAATTGCATTGGAGTCGCAAGACACGAGTCAAAGACAGTTGTGCACCCGGTTTGTTTGTTGCCATCGCCAATTTACGTTCATATAATCACACGGAGGCTGTTATCAACATTCAACTAATTGGCACTTAGTTGTGTTCTCATGATACAATTTAGAATAATAGAAAGGCGCAGTACGTAAAAATCGGGCGGAATAAATATTTTGTTTCGCTGGAAAAATAGTGAATAATACCTTTTGTCATTTCGCTAATTATTACGTGAAAAGTGGACAGAAGCAAAGAATTTCTGTTTAAATTTCAGTGAAAAATACATCGCATTGCCATCTACGCAGCAGAAATAAGAAATTCGAATGCATACAATAAATATACGCAAAGATACGTTGACGAAGGCCAAGCACCAATAAAATATCTTATCATTTGTGCACGCGCGATAAGAAAAGATTCGAGAATGCGCAACATAAACAATAATACTACGACTGCTAACGCCATAACAAATTTACATCTCTATTTGTGATTCTTTGCGTTCTCACAAGCAATCTATGTGTCTTTGCAGATAAATTTTAACAATGTCTACACTATAATGTGCAGTCAGTCCGAAATCTAATTGAGATGTAAACAGAATGCATGTTTATGCTGTGAGAAGCAAAGTAAACAATAAAAAACAATAAAAAAAATCCAAATCGTCGCGAAACAAGCGCGGAAATTGGATTTTTTGCCACTTAATTAGCTAGTGCAAGTTAATACAATCAATCCGTGCAAACAAGCCGACGGCGGCAAGGAAATTCGAAATCCGAAGCAATACGTAAACAGACACTCGATGCGAAGACTGCCGCCGCCGGCGCGACGCAAAAACACCGGAGAGGCTTTCCAGCGGCAGCGGCGGCGGCGGTGGCGGCTATTACGGCCCGCGCGCAGAACTGTCGCACGTTTCGCGCTTCACTTACCGTCGCACAATCTATTTCGCCGTTTCTATTCCCAATCTATTAGAGCTCGACATGTCTGCGCTGCGCGCCGTCGACGTCTAATATCTTCGACCGGGGCGCCGGGGGACGCGCGCGCGACAATGTATATAATGCAATATCGTTCGATATCGGCGCGATGTTTGCGGTATCACTGTGTGTCTTCCGACGGATTTATTGCGAGCGTTATTAAACTTCGCTGCTCCCTGGGCACTCATTTTTAATCACCGGATCGAGACAAACTCGGATAAGTAACCTTCAGAGCACTCACGGCGATGACACACGAAAAAGAAGAAAAAAATAAAACGTGAAACGGGATGAAAATGTCAGTCGCGATGCGCGTATTGCAAACATATCAATATTCG